TAAACAGACTACAATAAATTAAAAGTAATAATGGAAATAAAACAAAATACAAATTCTAACTGCCATTTTTAAAAAAATAATCATATAAATTTGCATTTTCACATGTGTAAATAGCCAATTTAACATTTGTTAGTAATAACTTACATGTATAGAAGTAAGCATATTAGCATACGCATTAATTACTAGGTTAGGAGTTAGAATTATGGGTGAAATTCCGCTCCATAGTTAAATAAGAACTTTCTTCATCTAGTTTTATCTGGAAGAATCCATCTTTGGCGTCGCAAACAGTAAATATTTTAGCTTTACTCAATTGAGGCAAAACCTATCTACTGTTGGAATCTGGTAATGTGGTCGTCTTGTAGCTTGATTAAGATCCTTTGGGTCTATACAAATTCTAAGTTTGTCTCCGCGACTCACTGCTACCAAACTACTGATCCATGAAGTATGCTCCTTAACTTTTGTGATGATCCCTTGTTTCTCCAAATCGTTGATTTTGGCTCTCAGCTTTTCTTTAAGGGGAACAGCAACTCTTCTTGGTGAGTGTTGTACTGGTTGCACAGTTTCATCTATCTAGATATGATACATGCCGGGAAGACAGCCCAATCCTTTAAAAATATCTGAGTATTCTAACAAAACTTTCTCCTTAATCAGATTTTCCTGAGGTTCTGTCAGTACTGCATGCACTGTATTTGAACTATTTAGAGATATCCGTTGTTTCTGAGACAGGTATTGCCATCTATGATTGGCCAAGGTGCTGACTCTAGAATATCAAATGTTATTTTACATGAGGCTTCCCCTTTTCTACCGACTAAGGTATATGATCCCAACGGTGTAACTAAGCTTCCATCATAAAGTTTGATTTTTCCTCTAGCAGGCTCCAATGTCACGTCACCTCTATGTTCTATATACATCAGTTGGTATAATGACATAGCAGCACAGGTTGCTCCAGTATCAAGCTGTGTTTCTATTACAGGTGAATATTCATTGTGATAAATCATTGGCATCATAAACTTGGATTTTCTCACAGAACCATCTACTGATGATATTCTATGGGCTGCATAAATCATATCATTTAATCTTCGGAATCATAATCAGTTGCTTCTTCCTGTATTTGATCAACTCTTTTTTTCTAATTTTATCATCCTGGTGGCAACTGTTAGCAAAATGATTCATCTCTCTGCATTTCATACACTTCTTTCCATAAGCAGGACAATTTCTTTCTTTGTGTACGAAACAACAAAATTTACAAATCTTTTTCTTCTCATGTCTTTCGGATTATTGTCTTTCTGTTCGTGTGAGTTTCTTTTAGTATGTGTAGATCTTTTATTCTTCTTGTAAGTTCCATGTACTTCCCTGACTGGCAATGTGGAAGTTGATCTCAAGTGTTCTTTATGTGATTTTGAAAGTTCACTTGCTCTTAAAACTTCTTGACATTGATTTAGATTAGGCACTGGTCTCTCGCGAAGCAATCGATCTCTACTCTTGACATCAAATGTACCCATGACAAGTCTATCCCATATTAAAGAATCTTGGAGGGCTCTAACTCACAATTTTCAGACAATTCTCGTAGACGAATAACAAAGTTATCTGCTGTTTCATTTTCAGCTTGCTCAGCACTGAAAAATCTAACTCTCTCAAATAGAATATGCGTATCTGGCACAAATTCAGTTATCAGCATCTGTCACACCATCTATGGTATTCAAAATCCTCAGAAAATCTGTGTCCATAATACTGCATAGTGTGGCTGCTACTTGAGCTTTCCCAGCATCCTTGGGAGTTCCATCTTCTAGAACTAATTTCGTATCTAGTTCTGTTGCTAACAAATAAAATTTCCACTGTGTTTTAAATGTTATGAAATTCTCTCTTCTGTTACCCTTTAAAACCATTGGTGATGGCGCTGGAACTTGGTATGTAGCCATACTGAACCTCTAAAGTAAACAGTGTCCCTTAATATATCACCCAAAAAATATTGGAAGGTTGTAACGATGTTGTAGAAAAGTTGGCTGTTTGCCAAGTCTCTGTGTCAACTGGTCCGCAAAATTTCCCTCATAGCACACTGTATGGCGTATTTCTGTCTTCATTAGGCCAGGTTAGGAGCAGAACAGTAGGACGTTAAACTCCATTTCATTTCATTTTATTTCATTTCTATCCTAATCACTACACGTGGTCTGACCCAAACGTTACACGAGGCTTTCTCACAGCTGCCGCAACTGTCCTACTGTTTAATATTTGACTGGATGCATTCACAGCCTTCTTAAAATTAATATAAGATAGGTTGCCAGGCAACAAAACATACGCCCACAGCAGCTAAATTGTCCGAGCAGTCGACAAGGGTTGTCGCATAATTATTCTTTTGTAGGTGATTAGGGGAATTTAACAGACAATTTCATACAGATGACGTTATAATTTTCGTTGCTTGAGGGTTCAAGGTTCTAAAAACTAAAACAAGGGCCGTAACTCTGGAAGTAATCAACAGAAATTGTTGAAATTCGACAGGCTAATTCAAATAATGCATATAAATTTCATACAGATCGGATGATAACTTTTGTCGTTCAAACGTTCACAAGGTTCAACAAAGTAAAACAAGGGCCATAACTCTAAAAGTAATTGACATTCAATAGGCGTCTTCATTTTACTAATTCAAATGATGCATATGAATTTCATACAGATTAGGTGATAACTTTTGTTGTTCAAGTGTTCTCAAGATTCAACAAAGTTAAACAAGGGCCATAACTCTAGATGTAATTAATAGAAATTTGCTGAAACTCAATAGGCTTGTTCCTTTTACTAATTTAAACAATACATATAAATTTCATACAGATCGGATGATAACTTTTGTCGTTATAGCATTCACAAGGTACAACAAAGTGAAACAAGGGCCATAACTTACAGTGTAATTAACGGAAATTGCTGAAATTTAATAGGCTTCTTCGTTGCACTAATTTAAATGCCGGATATCAATTTCAAACAGATCGGATGATAACTGTTGTCATTAGAGCGTTCACAAGATTCAACAAAGTGAAACAAGGGCCATAACTCTAGATGTAATTAACGGAAATTGCTGAAATTCAATAGACTTCTTTGTTTTACTAATCTAAATGATGCATATAAATTTCATACAGATCGAATAATAACTTTTGCCGTTACAGCATTCACAAGGTACAACAAAGTGAAACAAGGGCCATAACTCATGGCGTAATTAATGGAAATAGCTGGAATTCAATAGGCTTCTTCCTTTTACTAATTTAAATGATGCATATCAATTTCAAACAGATCGGATGGTAACTCTTGTCATTAGAGCGTTCACAAGATTCAAAAAGTGAAACAAGGGCCATAACTCTAGATGTAATTAACGGAAATTACTGAAATTTAATAGGCTTCTTTGTTTTACTAATTTCAATGATGCATATAAATTTCATACAGATCGGTTAATAACTTTTGTCGTTAAAGCGTTCACAAGGTGCAACAAAGTGAAACAAGGGCCATAACTCCACAAGAAATTAACGGTAGTTATTGAAATTAAATAGGCTTCTTCATCTCACTAATGCAAACAACATATATCAATTTTAAAAAAATCAGATGATAAATGTAGTCTGTAGAGTGTTCACAAGAAATTGTGGACGATGGACGGACCGACAGACGGACGGACGGGGGCGACGGCAATATACGACCACATTTCCATGTTCAAGTCTGCGAACTATTTGTAGACTTAAATAAACTAACGATCAACATTCAATGGTTTATTGTATGGCAGACATCTTTACACTAGCCCGAGCTAACTCATTACAAATATACAACTGGCGGTAGTTTTTACTTTGATGTCCATAGCAGTTATATCTCATAACAACCTGTCATGACATCATCATAGGTTAATATTCGTTCATATCAATCCGAGGGAGAGTAGGTTTATATCCGACATATACAACGCCATTTCACCCTTAAATTTAATGGGCTCTTCCATTAAAAGGCAACAACGATTGGATAATTTCTCGATAGTTTCCGCCAAATAGCGAAAATTACCGAAGTAATCACGTGCAATTACGTGCATGTTTTTATTTATACGTCGCCATTTTGGACTATTGAATTGAAAGCAAAAACAAAATGGATAGTAATACGAAGTCAGACGAATAATCAATCCTTTTTAGCCAACATATTGACGATGAAATAGATGTGAATGCAAATATCGACGAGGATCTATCCAAAGCCTGCAGAAAATTTGGACCAAAAGGCATTCTTTTCCAAGAATTCTGACAGTGAACCATGATTGAAGGTTTTCGGTATGTTCAGAGAAGGATTTGACCAACTGTTTTAAGTGGACTGTACCCAAAAATACTTTACAAAGGAACTCTTGGGCGATAAATACTTTCAAGTCTTGTAGTGTGTGGAGAAATAATCGCAATGTGGACGAAAAGAAAATTCTGAAATATGTCTTAGACATGGATAAACGATCTAAATACATGTATGTCGATAAGTACGCCGTCTATTTCGGTCCTGAATGTTAGAAACTGTACCATAACAAATTTTAATTGTCAAAAGAATAAAAATTTATTTCTGTGGTTTTTTGTATTATTTCGATCATCTACGTCATCAGCGGTTGATATGAGCCGAATATATTGACCATATCAACCTCGGGTAGGTTAATATCCTATACTTAATTATAGTTTGGTATTTGACCTTTGACCTATGAACTGTTAAAACACTCAACAACCTCTACAGTGTTCACAAGCTAAAAAGGTGATTTTTCATACAATCAGGGGCCTTAACCCATGAAGATACAGCCCGATACATGCCAATATCGAAAGGAACCGAGATCTTAAGGTGGTAAACCTATATTTCAAGTTTTATTGAAATTGACAGGGGCGACGACAATATACATCCACATGAAAATGTGGGTGTATAAAAACACTAACAACCTTTACTTCTTCATTCTGATAAGCATAATAAAGTAACTGTCTGGTGGTCTGCCAATCTTCAAATGTTATTATACATTATATATTTACCTCTATTATAACTTGTGTATCATGATCTTTATTTTCTACCATTTCTTTTAATTTCTCCCTATCAATTTTATTTATTACTTCACAGTTAGTATTTGTCTTAAAAGATAAAATTAACAAACATATCAACAATTTAACCAAAACTCTTACGCACAGAAAACACAACACGTGCTAAATCTACCAGCGGCTGCCAGAAAGGATACGCCCCCACATTTTGCAAGAGATGGACAGAGAACGGGCTAAAAACAAATACGTTTTTTGGTACAATCAGGGGCAATAATCCAGAAAGTTATGGCCTGAAATGTGCAAATATCAAAAGGGACTGAGATCTTTGGGATATAAAGATATGTTTTAAGTTTCATCAAAATCGGATAACCAGCGGCTGCCAGGCAGGATACGCCCACATTTTGCAAGAGATGGATAGAGAAGAAGCTAAAAACAAACGCAATCCAGAAAGTTATGGCCTGAAATGTGCAAATATCAAAAGGGACTGAGATCTTTGGGATATAAAGACATGTTTTAAGTTTCATCAAAATCGGATATAAATTGTGACCTCTAGAGGGTCCACAACCTTCGTATTACACACTTCTACACAATTTGCGTACAAAGAGCGGCAATTTTGTTGGGAAATTTCATTTTGATTTTCCCGAAATTCGAATTCAACCTTCATTATGGTGGAATGGTGATGTGTTCAAACGGTTTTTAAAATCGGAAAAAAATTGTGACCTCTAGAGGGTCCACAACATTGATTTACCAGATGTTTACACTATTTGCGTACAAGGCCATAATTCAGGAAGTTACGATTCAATATGTACGACAATCAAAGGGAACCAAGATATTTGGGTTATAAACATGCATTTCAAGTTTCATCAAAATCAGATGAAAACTGTGACCTCCAGAGGGTCCACAACCCTGATACACAATATTTTGACACTATTTGCAAATGCGGGACGGGCATTTTGTCCGTCAGATTCGGTCCGATTTTTACGAAGTTCGAACTCAACCATTCTCAGGGTGTAATGGTGATATATTCAAAAGGTTTTATAAATCGCATAAAAATTATGACCGCTATAGGGTCCTCAAGCTAAATTTATACACAGTGTTTAAGGTCATAAGACGAAGAAGCCTATTGATTTTCAGCGATTTCCGATAATTACTGCCAGAATTAGGGTGTAACGGTGATATATTCAAACGTTTTTTTAAATCGCATAAAAATCATGACCGCTATAGGGTCTACAAGCTAAAAACATGATTTTTCGTACAATCATGGGCCATAATTCAGAAAGTTACGTGTTCCAAAGTCTCGACCAATCAAATTGCTTATCACTCTGCTTACCCTGAGTAGAAAATGCTCATTATCGAACTTATTCAAAGTATTGATGTAATGAAACTATACACCAAGTTTCATCACTTTCACTTAATTAGAACTAAAATTATCGTGTCCCAAAGCATCAACCAATCAAATTGCTTATCTCTGCTTACCCTAAGCAGAAAATGCTCATCTTCGAAACTCTGTCAAGACATTGACCTAATAAACACCTACCCCAAGTTTGAACATTCTAGCTCAATTAGAAAGAGATTTATTGTGTTCCAAAAAGTGTGATAGACGGACAGGCGGACGGACGGACGGACAGACAAACCCATTTAAATAGTACTGTATAATATCCCTGACTGTTGACAAGATTCCATCATGGGCAATATCAGTAAAAAATTGTAAATTTGTATTCTGAGTTAGGGCTGTACGATATTGCAACAAGAGCATCACTAACGCTGCAATATACGTCCACATTCCAGCTTTGATTGATATGGTACTTTTTAAAATGAAGAGAATGAAATATGAAATGGCTGTAATATGATCAGAGGCAAAGAAGGCTAGGCGTCGGGTTTGTTTTGCCAAATTTACAGACAAAATACTAACAATAAAGTGGGTGTGACACTGCCCCAGGAGGTCGGGGCAAGTATCAAAATAAATAGTTGCTGTCTTTATGGTATAAGGAATAAATATGCACATTTCAAGATGATCCATTCAGAATTGCAGCCTGTAGACGATAAATACAAAAACTGGGCGTGGCTCTGCCCATGGGGGTTGGATATGGAAACAATATAAATAGAAACCATCCTGTTATTGAAATGGCAACATCAATAGTTGCCTTCCTAAGGGTCTAAGGAATAAATACACCAAGTTCCAAGATAATCCATTCAGAATTGTGGCCTTTGTACGTTAAAGGCAAAAATAGGGCGTTGCTCTGCCCCTGGGCGTCGGGGCATTCACCAAAATCAATAGTTGATGCCCTTAGGCTCTAAGGAATACATATGCCAAATACCAAGTTGATCCATTCAGAATTCCGGCTTGTAAACGATTAACATAAAAATTGGGCGTGGCTCTACCCCTGGGTGTCGTGACATGCAGTTGTCGTCCTTAGGCTATAAGGAAAACATATCCCAAGTTCAAAGACAATCCATTAAGAATCGTGGCCTGTAGGCAACTCACAGAGACACAAAGAAAAAATGGGTGTGGCTCTGCCCCTGGGGGTTGGGCAATCACCCAAAAAATAGCGGTCATCCTTAGGGTATAACGTATAAGTATAAACAAGTTTTCAAGATGATCGATTAAGCATAGCAGGCTGTAAGTGACATACAGACACACAAAAAGAAAATGGGTGTGGCTCTGTCCTTGGGGGCTGAGCATTCACCACAAACAATAGGGATGTTCCTTAGGATAGAAGGAGCAAGTATGCAAAGTTTCAAGGTGATACATTAAGAAATGCGGTCTGTAGATGACAAACAATGAATATAAGAAATGGGCGTGGCTCTGCCACTGGGGGTCGGGCATGCACCAAACACAATAGGGATCATCTTTAATTAGGGTATAAGGAATTCATATGAAATTTTTTCAAGACGGTCGATTAAAAATTGTGGCCTGTAGGCGACACACAGACACACATAAAGAAAATGGGCGTGGCCTGGCCTCTGGGGGTTGGGCATGCACCCCAAACGATATATGGATGTTCCTTAGGGTACAGAGAATAAGTATGCAAAGTTTCGAGATGATGCGTTAAGAAATGCGGCCTATAGACGACAAACAAACAAATACAAGGAATGGACGTGGCTCTGCCCCTGGGGATCGGGCATGCACTAAAAACAATAGGGATCATCCTTAGGGTATAAGGAATAAGTATGTAAAGATTCAAGATGATAACTTAAGGGTACAGAGAATAAGTATGCAAAGTTTCGAGATGATGCATTAAGAAATGCGGCCTATAGACGACAAACAAACAAATACAAGGCATGGGCGTGGCTCTGCCCCTGGGGATCGGGCATGCACTAAAAACAATAGGGATCATCCTTAGGGTATAAGGAATAAGTATGTAAAGATTCAAGATGATAACTTAAGAATTGTGGCCTGAAGGCGACACACAGACACACAAAAAGAAAATGGGCGTGGCTCTGCCCCTGGGGGTTGGGCATGCACCCCAAACGATAGGGATGTTCCTTAGGGTACAAAGAATAAGTATGCAAAGTTTCAATATGATACGTTAAGAAATGCGGCCTGTGGATGACAAACAAAGAAATACAAAAAATGGGCGTGGCTCTGCCCCTGGGGGTTGGGCATGCACCAAAAACAATAGGGATCATCCTTCGGGTATAAGGAATAAGTATGTAAAGTTTGAAGATGATCACTTAAGAATTGTGGCCTGTAGGCGACACACAGACACACCCACACTTACATACATACACACACACACGCGCACACACACAGACAGGGGCGACGGCAATATACGTCCACATTATGAATGTGGACGTATTAAAAAGGGACGACATCGATATTGGCATTTTTTTCAACGATACAGTTAAATATCGCGATATTTAATAATAATGTCACTTTGCTATGCTGATGTTTGAAAGGCGTCTGCTTGTGACCTTGAGTAAGAAAATTCTCAAATACCACGTGTAGCGGAATTAAGTAGATGCGGTCTTCAAGTCTTGTATTGTAAGTTCAAACAGTTTAACAAATACTAAATGATCCGGACTATCTTCCATTCAAGCATTCGATTGGCTGCGGTATTCCTGGCCTAACAGTGACAGTAATCTATTTATAGATCGTTTTATTCATGCTTTCAGAAATTAAGTTTCGTAGAGTTTTCTAAAAATATTCGTTTTTTAAAAATATGAAAACGGTAGTGGGAAATTTCAGGCGTTTAGTAGGCCTAAGCTTTATATGTAGTATTAACTGACAATTTATTGTCGACTAAAAACAAAGTAAAAGTAACGCATACACAATCGATGCAGTGAAAAACGGCTGTGGACACTGCGCAAGTGTTTTTAACATTTAACGATTCTCAAAACATTAGCTTTATTATAGTTTATTGCCGTTGGCTAATTTCCACTGCTGTATAGTGTATTTATGATAATTTTTTTCGATATTTGAAGTTTTTGGCGATATTCGATAAACCACTATAACGACGATTTTTGGCCACATATTGTAGTTGGATCTGAAAATACCATATCGCGATAAATGACTATATCGAGAATATCGTACAGCCCTATTCTGAGTTCAAATAATAGCTGCAAAAAGTAACCTACGCCAAGTTGATTTCTGTTGGTGACATTGAAATTAGCAAAGAATATCAATTTTGTTTTATTTGATGAACATAAGAATTGAAGTTCAGTTCAATAATGTTATGTGTGTTACTATTACCGGATATATATCAGAAAATTAGTCAGATAATCACAATTGTAGCCCAAAAAGGAAATTTCTTGGAATGAGTATAACAGTCCTTTAAATTTCCTCGGCGACTCACTGTGAATGAATATTTTCTGGGTGCTAGACTCTGTTTGCAGTGGGCAAAATTCTACACTTCAAAACTTTATTCTAGGAAATCTTCATGAATTTTTTCTTGTATGTCATCAGCAATGAAATTCAACCATTGGCTTATTGAAACACAAACCTGAAACACACAAAACAATAAAGTTAGTGAGTGTATTTGAAGGATAACAAGATGACTAGTCATCACCATCCCGCGCCGTTGAACTTGTTTGGAAGGCATAAGGAAAAACAACTTCTTGGAATATCAATGGGACTAGTCAGAAGATTCATA